CATCAGCCAATGGCCTCACAAACCAACTTTGTCAGACGTTTGATCTTTTGCGTCAACCCCAATGATATTTGAGTAAGGCAATAATTAACACAATTCACTCTACACCATAAAGTGCTTCCTACAAAATAGATCACTTTTTCGCAGCATTAGTGAATTTTGGGTCATGTTTGCATCAACAATATTTCTGTTAATATTTATTGGTTGATGTTGATAAATTTTTTTTTGACAAAGTTTTTTGCATTAACAATGTTAACACAAAAAGCATATATTAACATCAATATTTTATGGTTGATGTAAAAAATGTTGATACTTTTATAATTGTATTCCTATAATATATACTAAAAGTACATTAACAATAGTTATATGAGTATAAATAGAGTTATTAACATAGAAAAAAATCTTTATGCATCTTTAACCATTGCTATTGGATAATCTCAAAATATTTGGTTATTGAACACTCTCAATTACATTAGTTTTGTAAAAAAAACACGTATTCTAATTAATAATAATCTTCATTCACTTATAATCCTATTATATTTACAAATATATTACTCTGAAGGAAGGCTGGTATCCTTATCATAGCTCGAAGGGAGCTAGTTTAAACTCCCCAAACTCTTGACTTCTCTCTTTTCTTCCTTTTTATTAGCCCATATAATGTTCTTGGATAGGAATGTCAACGGGGCTCTGCGGAGCTGGGGAGTCCTTTCCCATCCCCATCCCTGCGAATGACAGGGACGAGGATCCCCGCGGAGATTTTTGATAGGGGTAAATTTTGCCCCCCATCCCCATTCCTCGCCAATTAATATCAAAATACATATTTTTTACATCAAACATAAGTAAAAATTAATGAGGCGTGCATCAAACATATAGTGAGTGAGGATGATGGAATATTGCAACTTCGACAGCAACTCTAGGCTTCAGCAGCAGATTGACAGCAACTCCAGGCTCCAACAGCAGATCGACAGTAGTTTCAATAGCAGATCTATAACAGCAGCAGATATGTAGCAACAGCAGTAGATCTATAGCAGCAGCAGCAAATCTGTAGCAGCAGAAGCCAAAAGGGAAAGGGAAGGTCGAAGGTGAGGTGAGACTGTGAGAGTTTGATTGTCCGAAAGTGAGTGAGGGCTATGAGGTGTGCTGCGTGAGCGAGAAAAGGAAATGAATAGGGTTAGGAAATTAGGGTTGGAAGGAGGATGATGGGTTGTGTTGGGATGGGTTGGGTAAGTTGGGTTGGGTAAAGTTTAATTTTTATTAAATTGGGTTTGGGTTTGGGTTTAATTTTAAAAATTAAATTAAATTTAAAATAGAATTAATTTATATACATTTTTTAAATTTTTCGCAGGGATGGGATCCCCACGGGGTTTCACGGGGCAAGAAAAATTCCCTGTGAAATTTTGTGGGGAGAAAATGCCCCCCATCCCCGCCCCATCCCCGTGACAGGGATCCCCGCAGAGCCCCACGAGGATCGAGGTAAATTGCCACCCCTATTCTTGGATGAGCTTCCCTTAAAAAAAAAAAGCTGAAGGATTAGATACCAATAAATATAATGATAGGTGCATGGTTTTAACCATCTATCTTCGACCCCAAAGTCTGTCGAAATTCGCACAATCCACATACTACCATTCAAAACCAAACAAGTCTAGCCAAGATAAAATAAAGCCACCAAAGACAACAGTTCCATTCCATTGTAAATCTTCTTTTAGCGAAGTTGTTGCCCCGCCTCCACCAATTGCTTCTCCAATTAAGGCCAGTATCTGATAATATTTGATTGGTCCTTAGCCACAGATTGTTACTATATCATTTTGGATTTGACTTTCTTTAGTTTTTTTTTTTTTTTTTTTTTTTTTTTTTTTGGTCTTTGCCACTTTCTTTTAGTTGATTTGGGTAGCACCAGGTATGCCAGTGGAAAGGTACAGTTTCCCGTATGGAATTTGGATCAATGTAATCACACTTACCATTTTCCCAAAAAATCAGGAGGCTTAACAACAAAACTAAGGATGGCAATTTTCTCCGCGACCCGCAGAGCTCCGCAAAGATATCCGCCATGGGGATGGAGATTCTCAGAATATTCTTACCTGTAGGACGGGGATGGAGGTAATTTTTTACCTGTGAAATTTTGCGGGGAATTTTCTCCATCCTGTGGGGAACCATGAGGATCTATATAAAATAAAAAAAGTATAAATTTGTTTATATATATTTTTTGTACATATATTATCAATTAATTTTTACTTATCCAATTTAATTAGTTAACCCGATACCAACATAACTTAAATTTCACAACCCATTCTTTTATCAATTTTTTCAAACCCAATTCTCAGCCCAACCCAATTTTTTTTGTTAATCTAATAATCCTAAACCTAATTACCCAGCCCCAATTTACAACCCAATTTACAAGCCCGATTTACATATAACCCTAGTAGGAGGACATTTCACTCAGTCTCTCTTTTGCTTGCCGCTTTTTGCAATTGCAAATTGCGAATTTGGGAATTGGGATTCCTCATTCCTCTCTTGGTCGGCATCAGTCTCTCCTCTCCAGTCAGTATCTGAGTCTCCTCTCCTTTAGTCCCTTGCCACACTCTTGCTCAAACTCTGCCCTCATCTCCACGGATCATTATGAATCGGTGCTTCCCTTCAACTCTCAACCTCTCACTGACTCACCATGCCGTCTCTCGGTCGGTCTTTCCAGCCAATCTCTGAGTTTCCTCTCCTCTAATCCTCTGCCACACTCTTGCTCAAACTCTACCCGCATCTCCACGGACCTTCACAGTGATTCTCTTCAGTTCTCAACCTCGCCGTCACTACAACCCCTGGCCTCTGCTGCCCTGCAATGCTCGCCGCTCACCTCCAGCTGAGCTCCAAGGCTGCCGCTGGGTCATCTCATCCTGCCTCTCACCGTGGCACCATGTTGTCAGCCCATCACTGCAAGTCAGCAACGCTCCTCACTCACCACCGCTCACCTCCAGCTTGTTTTAAAAGAGTGATCTTGATCATCTTTGTTTGCTATATAGGATTTTGTAAAATTGCTATTTTCTTTTGGAATTTTGATTAACAAGCAGTGAATGGTGGGGACTCCGAATACCCACGAAAACCTATTATTTCCCACGGGGATAGGGACGGAGGCAATTTTTGACCCTCCGCCAAAATTCCCCGCGAGGATCCCCGTACCCGTCATTAACGGAGATGGGGATGGGGATGGGGAGGGGGTCCTTGCCCCCGTAAGGACCCGTTGCCATCCTTAAGCAAAACAAGATCCCAAGAGCCAAACTATTATTTTATTTTATTTTATTTTTTTGTTATTTTGCCGTCAAACACAAGATTTGCTAGCAAAATTTTTTTTCTTTTTGTTTTTTTTTTGCCATCAACACCATAAGACTTCGATCAAGTTGTTAAAAAAAAAAAAAGAAAGCGCCACAGGCATCTATGAGAAGAAGTCACGTGACCAAAAAGAATCTAAAGGAAAAAAATATGAGATAAGGAGGATGAGTTAAGAGGGGAAATAAAGAGACTCCCCCGAAGGAAAAGAGATTTCAAAGGAAGAAACTCAGAATACAACTTTAACCTTAAACCCTAAAGAGTGTGCCGCGTAACTCTAAGGAGAGAGCCACCCCGGAGTTAATTCAAGAAATTAATATTAGATGACAACAATTAACTAACATGTTAAAAGAACAATAACCCAAAATTGCAGCTTGACAAGCCAGAAACAGAAGCTATCAAGCTTGGGACTGAAAAACAAAAGACCCCACAACGAAAGAAAAATCTTGGTTGAGTTGCCCATTTCAGTCTACCAAAAATGTCAATTTAAAATGCATTCTCCTTTTTGGTACTTGCAACTGCTTCCCATTACATACTTAAATTATTAGAGGTATGGGGACTTTGTGTCACACCCATATATTTTAATAAATAGATTAGAAATTAGAGTTTTTTATTTTAAAGTCTTGAGAATTAAATTGATTAAGTTTAGAGTTTAAAAATTGTAAATGAAATTTAATGAAAATTGAAGGATGTTTAATTCTATTATTCAAACTTTTGTGCCATGTGATACAATATTTACCAAGTTTGGATTTAAAATGCCTTACAAAGCCGTGTCTTCCTCTACAAGATTCAAAAACCAAAACCCATTCCTCTGCATCCTTCCTCTTTATTCCAGCCGTCCCCTGCACCTTTCCCTCTTTTTCAGCCTAGTGTGAAGTGTGGGGACAAACTCTCCAATTGAAGTTCTTTGCCATTTCTGGTGTTTTGTCGGTACTTTGATTTCCATGAGTAAGAATAAGTTTTAGTTATAAATTTGTGTTAAAGTTTTGAGTAAATTATATTATGAGATTAGTGTTTATCTGTCTTACCTTCTAAAAATTAGGAAAAAAATTATTCTAAAACTACGTAATTTTAATAAAATACTACAGAGAAAGATAAAAAACACTCTAATTCATACTTTAAAAATATGATATTTTAGTCTTTTTCAATGGAAATTTATTGAAATTACATGGTTTTGAGATGATTTTCCTCCTAATTTTTAAGAGATAAGACAGATAGGCATTATTCTGTTATATTATTATATATTTAAAAATTAGTTTAAATTTGTGAAATTGACTCTAAATCCTTCGTTTAAGGGATTTTGGGTATTAGGATTTTATCTAAAACTATTTGAATTTTTGGTATAGGTACGGTATAAAATTAGAAGTGGGTTTCATTTTGATGTTGGAATTTTATGTCAATTTTATTAATTGATATCTTACTATTATTGTTTGGTATTTCTCTGTATATTTGTGTGAAGATTTTGAAAAATTGCATGATAAAGCAAAAATTTGTGAATACTTAATTGGAGTTCTGTGCTGCCATGGCTTGTTGCTCTTGATTTGAATTTTGGTTGATTAAGTATGCTTTAATTGCATTGTTAAAATAAAAAATTAATTTTAACTCTTATAAGTGAATCTACCATCAAACTTGGGATATTTAAAGTGGATTGCTTTAGAAATGCAACTGATTATGTGAAATAATAAATGAATGGAATTATTCCTATAATTATTTTGAATGTATTTTGAATTTTGTTTAGCATATGTAGGTATTTGTGGTTATGGAATAAGTGGATCTAAACTTAAAGTTTGGGATATTCAGTGGATCCTACAGGGTATTTAATTGACCTCTACGTAATAGGGTGGGTGTCATGATTAGATCCGATACAAATGTTGCTGACATGAACTAATAGACTTCATAACGTTGTATGATTTTCCTTTTATGCATTATGCTTATGATATCATATTGGTGAGCATATAGTTTTATAGCAGGGATTTGATTTAAATGTTATTGGATATTCTTTGACATATATGATCGTCTGTGAATAATTTTGTGATATTAAATTATTATTTGAATACTAAGATTTACAATATTATGGGGCTTGATTCAATTATTTGTTATGCTCTTCATGTGTGTAGGTTTAGGGGTCTAAGGACTTAAGTTTGTAGTTTTAACTTAGTACTTACTAAGTTTTTTAACTCATGATATTTTCCCCTCATTTTAGATTAATAGATTGAAGTAGTAGCCACTCAATTTGAGAGCTTTCGGTATAAATCTCATATGCTAACCTTAGTATTTTCAATGTGAAGGTAAATTAATGTGTTATTAAAACGATAATTTTATTTTTATTATTTTGAAAAGTTTTTTAAAAGCATTTGTTCTCAAGCATTTTTTATATAAATTACTGTTATGTATATGATATTAAGATTAATTTAAATGG